AAGAGGTTTACCACCACATCCGAACCAAAACAGTCTCCTTTCTTTTCTGATCTGCTTAGCACTACATTTCCAAATAAGGAAGGAAATAAGAAATGTAGAGGAGGTTTAATAGAGAAATTATAAACTATTCTTCAGCACCCTTTAAACAAGTTCAGCAAGACTCTTCATATTACTGACCTCAATTTTCTTCTAATCGAGACCAGCAGGAGGAAGCTTTTTATGTCTGACTGTCTTAGCTGCGCTGGGCAAGTGCATCTGGTGTATGACTCTAAAAAGCTAGTTGTGATAATGATATGGATAATTAAGTGGCCATATCTGGGACTCAAGTTTGGTGGCAGAAGATACAATTACCTCTGTTTACCTAAACTGAAAATGCAGTTGGACAGTGGCGAAAAAGGCAGCCAGGTGCCCGGAGCAGCTGAGAAACATGGAAGCAGTACAATCTTCCAGCTATCACCATGCTGCTGGTGCAATCTTGGGGTCTGTAGCAGCGGCTGTTTCCCCTCACCCTTCAAGTCAGCAACTGGCCAACTTCCTCAGTAGCCTGGCCCTAGGTACACTACTACTGTTGGGAGTCAGTGTATTTGAAAAAAAAAAAGGAGAGAGCCTTCAGTTTTACAGCCCTAAAATGCTAGACTGCAAATTTAACTGGTGGATCACACATTTATTAAACTACAATTTGCATCTCCCCACACACCAGACAGGACTCTTATCTGCAAACTGAACCTCTTTATGCCCAGTTAAAGGTCTCAAGGGGCATGAAGCAGGCTTTAGGGACCCGTTGCTCTGGCAAAATGCTCTTCCTCCAGCATAGCCACCGAAGCAGACAGCTATTCAGCTTCCCATCACAAACTCCCAAGTTCCAACCCAGGGCTGCACAGTGAAGCAATTTAGCAGCCAGGGAAGGTTTCCATAACAGGACCCCGAGGCTTTGTCAGTTATGCCAGGAGCCTCTGCAGGTCACTGCAAAACCAGAATCAGAAAGGTACAAAGATAGATTAGAACTAAATCTCCTCCTTTTGCAAAGAGATCTGTGCTGCCCCACTAAAAGACCTTACACTCTTGGTCCATACGTCTGTAGCATTCCTGGACTTCTGTGTTCTTTGACAAAACATTTTACTAACATTGCGAAAAACTAACTACATTCACCAGGATTTTTTTAATAGTGTTGCTGTTCTCCTGAAATCACCATATTCAAGCACAGTTGAACAGCTAAAACAGATAACATAGTAGGTTTCTTCCCCCAAGTTTGCTCTTTGAAATCTAATAGTGCAGCAAAAGCAAACCCATTAAATAGACAGATACTTCACAATAACAAGGAAAAATGGATTTTCACTAGAAATGAATGACTAATTTTCCATGAATCAGTTTAATTCCATTAAGTTTATAATATGCATTAGAGAGCTCTGTAGCAGATAATAATGTCACTCTTTAACTGGTGCAGCAGAGTTTTTACTGTATTTTCTCCCTTCTTTTTAAGTACCCAGGCCAAATTCTTCAGAGAAACTGAGAGCATTTCATGATACTAGTTTTTGGACCAGTGTTGGTTACATTAGCTAATCTTACTAGCTCTAAAATGAAATAAAATGTTAACATTTCAGCTTCCCAGTTGTGCTTGTAATATCCAGATTAAGTTATCAAATGATAAGTTTCTTCAAGAGTAATGTATTGAGTAACTGTATATCAACAGTACTACATTTCCCCCCATTTATCCTATTGCATCAGTAGAGGAAGAGCACTATATTATCCGTTGCCCCATGCACTTGTTTATAGACCAGTTAAAAAGCCTTGCTGAAGATGTCCATCTGCTGCCACTGAAGCAAGGATAATAATACAATACAAAATATTGCCTCTTTAACCATAATGCAAGAACATATCAATCACATAACTATGTTAGTATGGAAAGAGCATGAATTTAATTTGGTCCGTAACATCGGCCTAGGAAGATATTTTCAACACTATACAAGGTGAAAAGAAGAATGCACCTGCTGCTTATTTGTCTGCATGTATAAAAATATAAACATCTTATCAAACACCTGTAAAGTTACATTTCATGACATGCCACTGAAATGAATGGCATGACACCTATACCTTGATGTCTAATTAAGACAGTCTTAAAAATGGGCTTGTGAATGGCATTGGACTTGTATATCCATGGAGCAGGGGAAGTGTGAGCAGTAGTAATCCAAGCAACCTATACAATGCTTAAATAGCAAGTCTCAACACTGAGGTGACCTCTAACCAAGAAAAGCGACTTCTAACAGTGACAGGCTAGCTGAGTTGCAATATTTATTTGCTCCTGGGGCTTTCAGTTGAGTCAGACAGCAGAAGTTAACAAATTGTCCACTGGAAGTTTGTCCTCTAGAAACATGACTTCACTTACCAACTCATTTTTTTAACGGAGACTGCCATGAATTTGATAACCATCAAAAGACTAATGATTTAGGTCACTTCCAACTTTGATCCAGACATAAATCAGTGACTGATGAGTGAAAGGTTCAATATCCCCCTACCAGTCACTCTTACTTTTTCATCACAAACACAGTTTTTAAAAAAGTATTAGTTTTTATTACATCCATTTTTACTTAAAAATAATCATATGAGCTTTTGGGTCATCTGCTAGCAAACAGACAGACATTCACTGATCAAAAGACAGGCAATCTTCATTTTAGGGATGCATTTTGCCATCAAGTAGTTTTAGTTATAATTCACATTCAAGCAAATAAAGTGTAGACAGATTTAGTTCTAGTATTATGCAGATATTCATACTCAGTTTTTCCATGGATACAGGTATAGGAAACTGATTCAAAACCATATTATAAACATAGCATAATATGCAAATGTTTAAGCTAGATAGAATATGAAATTTTGTAACACTAAAATGAATAAAAAACTAAATGATTTGTGTAAAATGTTCATATACTGTGTATGTATATATACACTAAATCACAAGTTCAATTGAAAATTGTCCCTATTTATAACTTGTATGATGGACTTAGCTACAGTACAAGGTTCATTAAAAAAACTAGCTAGAGCTAATTGAAACACTGAAAACTGATTTTTATACAAAAATTTTTAAAAAGGTACTTCAGAGTTACTTGACACAAATTAGAAAAAGGTAAGTCATTGATTCTAGCGAATGACTTGGTGAAGATTTAGTAGCTGTGATCACCAACCTTTCACTTGTGGTGTAGGTAAGATATGCACAAAGGAAATAGTTCAAAATAAGGCAGAGGACAACCAGATTTAATTCTATCTTCTCATGCACTGGCCTCCCGTTGCTATCTTATTGCTCATCTAAGTTGAAATGTCTCTCTCTCTCTCTCTTTCTAAAAATATCTGAATTTACAATTATCTACAACTGGACCATACCTGTTGCTTTCATAGGTAAGTATTCAGTTTAACCACATGAAAAAGCTATCTTAGTGTATTTAAAAAAAGACACTGCATGGGGACTCAAATTATTTCATGCAGTTTTATTTTCACGCCGTTTTATGCATGCTTTAAAGAAGCAAGTACACACTTAGTTAAAGACCAAGTGGTGAAATCAGAGAGCAGGAACTGAAGCTCCTAATAGATGTTTTTTCTTCAATGAAGAGATTTAATATTTATGTAGATATAGCACTTTACAAGGAAAGTAAGGTTTTAAAAATAAAACCTTACTGTGAAATTCTTTGGTTAGATTACAAGTGCTAGTAATATTCGGTTTTATTAACCGGGACAATCGGTTTTATTAACCGTTTTACAAATATACCTTCAAGCTTTAATATGCACCACCCAAGTTTTCAGATATTTAGGATAAGTACAAAGATATAATTTTGGTTGAAACTTTAATGGATGATAGAACATGTAATACAATTCAAGAAGTATAAAGTGCTTTTGTACTCAGATTTCTAGCTGCTTAGTAAAAAGAGCCACTAACTTTTCTTTCATTACAAAACCTTGTGATTTTGCAGAAAGTTCTTTCAAAGGAAGCTACGGCCGCTTCCTCCGGGGGCAAAAAATAGCCTGTATGGACCAAATACTGCAAGTGGGGGTAGCTCCCACCAAAGAGGGTTGGAGATATTCCTGTTCTTTTTTTTTTGTCAGGGCTGAGTATAATTCCACACATTTTTTGGTGAAGGCACCTAACTATGCCTAGGAAATGGTTGCTTAGCAGTGTAATTTTTCCCCTTGGATACTAGTGCCACAAAAACTAAGGAAAATTAGGTGGGGGGGGGGGGTTATTATTAACATGGAAGAAAGTTGTTTTAGGAAGCAGATCAGTTAGCCTCCCAAGGGACGGTTTTTCCTGTTTGTTTTATAATACTAATGAAAGGGAAGTTAAGGTTGCAACCAGGGAACACATGTTGCAATGATACAAATTTCCAACCCAACTAAAAATCATCTACCATATCACTGTCACAGGAAGCAGGTACATCCTCCATGCAAGCGAGCCCAGTTTTGATTTGACCCCAATCCCCTTTCACGGAGTTTAAAGAATATGCAATGAAGTGTGTGTGTGTGTGTGTGTGTGTGTGTAAGTAATCCATTGCATTTGCGTGTGTATGTATGCATGTGTGTATATATGTGCATGTGTATACATACACACACATATATACACACACATATACTGTATATAGTAATTAACACTGTAAAGAATTTACACCACCCATGAAAGCTATGATTCACAAGTACTGCAAGTTTTCGAGGAACAGCTGCTTTGTCTCTGGAGGGGACTTCATCCTTAAAGTGGCTGATATACCAGAGGAGTTGATTGGAGGGCTGCCCTTTCCCCTTGGAGTTGAACAGGCACCAGCTTTTTCCAGTGAGGGGGAAGTACATGGATTTGGGGAAAGCCAGGAGAGGGAGCAGGGGGAAAGGCTAGGGATGACAGTGGTCCTGGAGGGGCAGATGTAGGCAGTTCTTCCTGCAGGAGAAATATGCACAGAGCACAGGGTACAGACAGCTGTCCTTCTCGCGG